GGACGCAACATTCAAACAATAAAGAGCATGCACTTGTAGTTAGGAGAGAATGAAGGAAAAGTATGCATGGGCATCCGACCACTCTATCTAAGCGCGAAAACACTGTGAAAGAAACTGATGTCACTTTGATAGTTGGCTAATAACAATTATAACTTCAAAATTACATATTGGAAACGTGTGAAGGGCTACCTGTTGTCTCGCGAAATCCTGAAGAACAAAGCACCATGCTCAGGCGGCATGACCTGAATAAACAAGAAACGTTGGTCATGTTTCCCTCCTACAAACTTACCCCTACGCACAGTTGCCACTGCTGAAAAGAAAAACTTCGGTATCATGCACATATAACTCTGAAGCAAAAGTGTGTATTGATAAAATGGCGTAGCCGGAGCTAACAAAATGTCTTCTAAAGTTCTGTTTACTTTAACGAAGGCTTCAAACAATCTGAGAATAATGTAAATAATGATTATAAACACAACTGCACCCTTTCACACGTCGGCACACCCATGCACTGAAGTCGAACTAAGTATACTGGGATTGCATGTACAAAGAAAAACCTAACCACGCAAGTGGTGACTCGTTTCTTCAAGCAAAAAAAAAGTTTCTCGCAAATGTGCAGTGCATCATGCAAACTTGCTGTTTCTCATTTAACTTCAAGCAATCTATGACATAATACACGAACTGAGAAACAGTGTGATAAATACCAGCTAGTGACAAATGCAGTGCAGAGCAATTGACAGAAAATCTTCATGAAGGGCTTCTTACCAAGCAGCAGCCAAGCAGACAGACGTTCCGGCAGACGAATCCAGCAATGACGACATTGCACAATATGACCCGTATTTTGTAGCGTTGCTTTTACATGATTATTTCGTCGATCACGCCATCAAGATCACGCAATGCATCCCAAATCACATATGTTTATCACGCATCACGTCATTACACCATGATCACGCCATTGCATCCGTCATGGCTGACATGTCAGCCTATTCGTTGACAATCACTGTCGCAAAGACACGTAGATATATAATGCACTAGAAAAGGTGCCGTAGTAGATAACTAGTACATACACACGTTTCCTTGAATGCAATAAGCAAGGTGCTGCCCTTTTACGGCAGGGAGGGGGAGGGAGCTGTGTAGCACTGCTGTTTTTTGGCTTGAGTGACCACTCCTGGAATTCTCTGTGCCTACATCGCCTACTCTATTTTCTGTGCCTACTCTATGCCAACATCGCTACTAGCGATAACGCTAGAATATTCGATGGCAAGTGCATGAATACCGACACGCTTCGCCGCTTGTCCATTGATCGATGGCCGACACTCTGCTCGCCGCTATCAGTGCCAGTGTCTTGCCATAATCTGACATTTTTTTTTCCCTGGCCACAAGTTTGGCCCAAATTAAAAGTTTCATCTGTGACCTGAAGTCTGCTCCCTGCGTTCACGTCACGACCCCTTGACGTCTGGTAGAGGTGCTGCTTCGTTAATGTACCGGACAACTCTGTGAAGCCGTGAATCCAGCCCACGTCGCGAATAAAACAATGGCGCCAGCCACGAGCACCGAACAAGCTGCAGGCAGCTGGGTCTATCACCGGAGTACAGGCCTCTACAAGACAAGGCTCGGAAGACCAAAGCCATGACCTCGACTGCGGCTATGATGACAATTGCTATGCCACAGCTCGAAATCATGATGCAGCAGCCAAGGGAGCTACCGATTTTCCGTGGGTAATCGTTTGAAGACCCAGAGACCTGGCTGGAGACCTACAACCAAGTGGCCACCCTGAACCACTGGGACATGAAAGAGAAGCTTTGTCGCGTCTACTTTTATCTGGAAGACCGGCAAAAAACCTAATTCGAGAATCGGAAGTCTGCCCTTCAAAAATGGGATTTCTTCCGCAGCACATTCTCGGACACATTCAGGAGCATCACCCGCAAGGAAAGAGCTGCAATATTGCTGGAGACGAGGGTGCAACTCCCGAATAAAAATGTGGCAATCTTCTTGGAAAAAGTGATGCGACTGTTCCACCACTCTCACCCCGAAATGCTTGAGGCAAAAAAGTTTGTTTTCTCATATGAACGGTCAAGCAAAAGCTCTTCGCTGAACTGATAGGAAACCCTCTGAAGTTCATTCAGGAATTCCTGTCGGAAGGTACATTAATCACAAAGACACTGGAAATACGAATCTGTCAGTATAATCGGCGAACGATGAAAAACAGCCCAGCTCATCATGCTCTTGGCTCTGACAACCTTCGTGAAATGATACAAGTGATCAGACAGGAAGAGCTGCATAAATTATTGCAAGCCTCACAGCATCCACAGGACCTGATTGCCGACTTCGTACGCCAGGAAATCCAGCAATTTCTCCGGACACACGAACCAGCAATGCCTGAGCCACAAGCCATAGCTTACGCTGATGTAGTCAGATGCAATGTTCCCCCGCCACGTCCACACAGGAGGCCGCACGGCCGCATTTTCATCCCCAGACACCACCGCCAGCATCATACTGTCCACCCGCCAACTAGCGAAACTTTTCGAGGAAAACCAACATGCGGCGTGCCCCCGACCACCGACCTCTGTACTACCACTGCGGAGAAGCTGGCCGCACCTACTGCTGCTGTCAGTACCGCCAAGTAGGACTGCGTGGTTTCGCCATCGACGCGCCGCGTTCATAGCGGGGTGAAAGACCACGTGACATCGTGGGCTCGCAGCAGCCCAATGGACGCCCCGAGGCTTTTCTCGTTCACCATCACCTGGCCGCTACATGTTGCCTCACTGGCAGTCATACACTGGCCCAACCTGCGGCTGGTCGCCTAGCCCCGTACTCGGAAAACTAAAGGCAGCAACTGATAGAGGTACGGTTGCTGTACGACGAACTGCCAAAGATCCTTTGCTGCTGATTATGACGACGCGATGAAACCTCGAGAACCCGCCACAACGTCAACGTAATCTCGATGTCAAAAGGTCAAGACCAGAAGACAACTTGATGATGCAGCGTCGAAGCAGCGGTACAAATCATCGTACCCGTGATCCGACGCTACGACCCAACAGAAACGCGAAGCGAGAAACCAGCGACCTCAACGTTCTTTTTATCAGCCACAGCGTTTCAGTTCTTGTCGACTCTGGTGCCGACTATTCCGTCATCACTGGGACGTTCACCGCTAAGTTGAAAAAGTTAAGACAGCTTGGGAAGACCTCGAAATTCGTACATCTGGAGGTCACCTAGTTACGCCGGCACAAATCTGCACAGCCGGAGTCACCAATAAAGGGCCCATAGACCACTCAGAGGCAGAAATGTAGATGTGGCGATGCAACGATGTTTTGCACGTGAAAAGCATAGTTTGAGCAATGGAAGAGATGCTCAAAACCGGGATCTTCGCTTCCTCCGCCCAAAGCAACATGAAAAGTTCGACATCGTTTTCCTCGGCACAGCTTCTGCCAGCTCACTTGACAGTGCCCTAGGCCTCCAAGCACTGATGACAGCCTTTTGAACGCTGCTGTACACAGGCTTAAAGAACAATGTCTTTCAGACACGCCATATGCATCGAATTCTGATGTCCCTAGCGTCGCAATGGTCGGAGAGTTCATTGTGAGAGCGGCAACCGAAAATATCTCTCGTGTCAAAGGTACTGCATTGCTTCAAGGAACCAAGAAGAACTCTCCCCTGCTTGGCCTTATCACCCAACAAGATCATGGCGGGCTCATGTGTCCAAGCTTAGGGCTCATCAAACACCTGATATGCTTCAGGAGGTTTGTCGAGACCGTGCTCCCGTACAGGAAATGCTTCACAAGACCACTGTAGGTGTGGGTAGATAAAACCGTCGAACTTCTTGTTGAACTACCACTTCTGAGCCCTTCTGAGATGTAGCAGCACAGACATCGATCACCGCAGGAAACTTTTGCTACTGATAGCTACGAAGTTCATCAATCCCCTTTACAGGAATTATGCACTTGTCACAACTGACAGACATGCCACTGTCAAGCTGCTGCAGCAAAATCCTGTTTCACGAAAAGTTCTAAAAATGTAGCCTCGGATGTCCATTCGTTCAGCCACTGAATATTTCTTGGGCAATATATATTAGCAGTATCAAAAGTCATAGTGCTCAATTCTCACAAAGTATTAACCACCGCGGCAATAGGAAAGCAAGCAATGCCGCGGGCATCTAGTAAAGGAGGCATTGACACGGCATGAATGCGCTATTTCGTGGATCTTGCCGGTGGCTCGCAACTTCAGTGTCCCCGTAGATCTTTTTGTTTTGTGCGTTTCAACGCTTGTTGCAACTCTGACAAGAAAGGCAACTGCGTCACAAAATACTTGCGATTCAACGAGCAAAGCAACATAACCACAGAAACTCATACTTACCAGTCAGTCCAAGCTTGTTTTCTATTTTATTCCACAAGTCGTCCTTTAGCAAGCTGTTTTTGCGCATAAGGTGGTGTTTGTCGTATAGGACGGGGTGGTTGTACACCACTTCAATGAGCATTTCTGCTAAGTACACTTTATTTGATTGTGGCATAACGAGCGGGTCAAACCAGGCCATTCTTTTTTCAAATTCCTCGACTAGCGCTCCTATGGGTTCGCAGCAAGCTGATTTGGCGGCAGACGCCGCGAAAGTTGGCCCAAGAGTGATCGGCGCTTAGAGGGCCCTTTTGGTGGAGCTCGCCTCCGTCAAATCAGATTCGGCGTGCTTTTGCCGTCCAGAATGCTCAGTGTAGACGAGTCTCTTCAAAGCCATTTGTTCCTTTAGATTTAGCATTAGAATGGCATCTAAATGAGATTTTACTATTTGGTACCTAGCTCACCATTCATGTGCTGCAAAACTAAAATTTTCGTGAAATGTGACGTATTGTGGTAATGAGAGTAGCTTTGCTTTTGGTGACACAAAGTGACCATCTGCTTCACTTACAAGCAGAGAAACCATCAGCTGTGTATTCTGTGCTGCTTCAGTTCAGGTCCATGTAGTGTACAACACACAATTTGCATAGCTTTTTTGTTTTCTTCATTCGTTGCAGGACCCTTGTCTTCTACGGCCCTGCAGGAGTCTTCTTCATTGGTGGATGTACGAAGTCGACCGCATTCCTGCTCACAGTGCACCTATGTGACCCTGGACAAGTCAGCTATGAATAGGCACCTTCAGAAACATATGGGCGAGCCTGCCTTCCAGTGCCACTTGTGTCCAGCTGCATTCATTTGCAGTTCCAAGCTGGTATTGCATGTGGGCACTCACACAAGAGAGCGTCCATTCTCTTGTGCACAGTGCAAAGCATCCTTTCAGCAGGAAGAGGACCTCGTAAAACACATCCGCACTCACGCAGGAGAGCGTGCCTTTTCCTGTGTAGACTGTAAAGCGTCCTTTAAGCAGAAAGGCCACCTCATGAATCACATCCGCACTCACACAGGAGAGCGTCCCTTTTCTTGTTTAGACTGTAACGCATCGTTTTCTCGCAAATACGAGCTTAAGGCGCATATGCACTCTCACACAGGAGATCTTCCCTTCTCTTGTGCCCACTGCGATGCATCCTTTGCACGAAAATACTACCTTGTGAGGCACATCGGCACCCACACAGGAAAGCGTCCTTTTTCATGTGCCCACTGCAATGCATCATTTAGAATGAAAAGCCAGCTCGTAGAACACATCCGCACACATACAGGAGAGCGTCCCTTTCGGTGTGTCCACTGCAATAGATCGTTTATGACTAAACGCCGTCTCATTGACCATACACGCACTCACACAGGAGACCGTCCCTTTTCTTGTGTACACTGCAAAGCATCCTTTAAGCAACAAGGGCACCTCGTGAAACACATCCGCATTCACACAGGAGAGCGGCCCTTTTCCTGTGTCCACTGCGATGCCGCGTTTAAGCAAAAATGGCACCTCGTGAAACACCTCCGCACTCACACCAGGTAGTCTCCCTTTCTCTGTGTACATGCAACGCAGTTTGCGGTGCAACACTACCACGGTCAGCACATGCATTGTCGCACAGGAGACTGCTCCTTCTCCAGTGCCCATTGTAATGCACCCTTTTCAAGGAGAGAGGAACTTCTTGATGCAGCATCTGTGGTCACACAGAAGAGCGTCGTTTTACCTGTGTCAGAATCCCCTCTGATGTGTCCATTCCAAGGCATCCTTTTTGCCTAGAACCAGCCTAGTGAAACACGTCCATGCTCACACGGGAGAGCATGCCTTTGCCAGTGTCCACTGCAATACATCTTATGAAAACACCACCTCAGAGACCACATGTCCTGTTTACATGGTGGAAACAAGTCGTAAATGTGAGAGGTGTACTGGTATTGAAAGGAAGGTAGACGTGGTAGGGATGGAAAGCTTGTTGATTAGAGGAGGACGAGTAATACTTCATTTAGGTAAAAGGTGGAGGCTTCCCAGGTAAGGGTGATGGTTAGGTGGGCTCCTCCTTACAAGAGCCCATTGGCATTAGCTGCTATACCTGAGCGCAATCGACCAGGATTTTTTTACTGGCCAAGTCTGAGCAGTCAAGCAGAGCCACCTCCCACTCCTTTTATGTGGGATGTGGTAGGGGGGAGAGAGGTGCAGTGTTAGCTGACATGCCCAACGTTACTAGATCCTGTCAGTTGTCAAACTGCGTCTAGGAGCGGTGCGAAAAAGTGGCCCACTGCCATCTCCTCTCGAGAGGTGGCGCTGCTACCATGATCGACCCGGTTATTACTGAAGCTTCGCAAGGCGACAGCGTGCCGGCAACTGAATGTCGCTTCTTTTTATCTCATTCTCTGCTTGTGCTCCTTTCCTTAGCACCAAGTATTCAAGAAATATCCTTTTTACTCTGTGCACTCTTTAACAAATAGCTAATGGGAGAACGAATAAGGCACTGAGTCTTTTTGAGGTACGTATAATATGTGAAGTACGTATAATATGTACGTGTATAACAAGCCTGTGACATAAGAATACAGAAGCCCAGTTGGCAATATTCACAAAACACGCACTTTTTTGCTTAATACAGCTACCTTGTGACAGTTTTAATGCCGACAATTCGTATCCCTGGCATAAAATTGCATCTCCATAACAATGAAAAAATTCACTTTCCGCATGAGTGCAAACGTATGGTCTGTGCAGCCATGAAGAGGGAAGCAACACCCCTCTAGATCATCTAAAACCTTCAAGAATATGTCTTTGCACTCTTTCTGTCTTGCACTCTTTCGCTCGCTCTAGTGATTGTCGCAAGCTCGTTGAAGACCGATGCAAGGCCTTCGACGGCAACCGTGTCGTTTGTGGAGCACACTTGTTCACCATTGTTAGAATCATTGCGCACTGTGTTTTCCTTGTTTTCATTTTTTAGTGCCTAATGTCAACAGCCAGCCACACAGTGGGAAGCAGCTCTTTTTTGAGGACATTGATAAATATTTCGGGCAATTGAGAACGAGACATGATATTGGTTTTTCTTTTAGAGTATACTTATCACATGGTATAGTTATCACTTCATCATTAACACTGTGGATGAAATCGTTTACGAGGTCTTCTGAATGGAAGTGCAGGTCACGCACGACACAAGAGCTAGTAGGTTCTTCGTTGAGCTTCGGTATGGCGTGGTCTCATTCGCAAAAACAGGAAGCAGGCTTCGGCGGCCTGAAAAAGTATCTCTTCTCACTCTAAGATCGCACTGAGTCCTGGCCACTCCTGCGTTATTTCATATGTGTGGTTTAAGGTCCCAAAACCACTGCATGAATATGAGAGATGTAGTGTAGGGTTCCAGAAATTTGAATGATTTGGGGTTCTTTAACGTGCACCAAAATCTGAGCACACGGGCCTACAGCATTTTTGCCCCCATCGAAAATGCAGGCACTACAGCCGGGATTTGATCCTGCAGCATGCAGGTCAGCAGTTATGTACCTTAGCCACAACGCCACCACGGCGGAGCAGCCGCTCCTACAGCTTGACACAAAACATCTAGGCATATTAGATGCGAAGCATCTTAGAATGGGGCTAAATCCGGTGTTCTTTATGACCACCTTTGCTACACATGCGCAAGAGCTGCCCCAAGCACTGCCACAACGCGCTCACACACTAGCACATGTCACCTTGTATAAGGGGCTAGATAAGACGTGGTTGTCTCACCCTCTTACACTCTTTCAGCAAACATATGATGATGTCGGGAACAAGATACTACAGACGTGCGATGAAGTCAGAATGCGCTAGAACGTGCTAAAGCGATTGGGTCTGTATAAGTAGATGTGTAATAGCCGGTGGCCACTCCCCCTTACACTCTCTCATCATTAAATGCCTGGCGAGATCACGGAGCAGCGGATAAAGCAGCGCAAGGTTCGACGCGCCGTAGTGCAATGTAAAGGTCGGCAAGCGGACTCTGAGCTCCTGTTTAGGGAAGACCAGTGCTAACGACAATGTTGGCGAGAAGCTGCTACAAATGAAGCGCAGGATCGACCTGTCCAAACGCAAAGGCAGCGTCAGCAAGCAATCCACGATGTATGCAACGCCAATGTCGAAGCATCAGCGTCGAGCTTACACGTTGGCTGCAGACAGATGAAGTGAGTCCAGCGCCTATGCAGAATGCCTCGATATATTACTTCAATGCCGGAGCTTGAACGGTGCCGATGCCACTTAATGAAACTAAACACGACAAGAACACTAAATGCGCTAAAATAACAAAAACACCTAGTCACCTAGTCAAACCGGTGCAAACGCGGTGTGCATCCTCGTCCTGCGTCGTATCATCCCATAGTGCCTGTTGAAGAAAGCATGAGCCTCCGTGCCCATGGCGAAGCCCACTCGCTGACCTCCTCTTTATTCCAAACACACTGATTCTCCCTTAGTGACAATAGAGAGGTTCTTCGTCATTTACACAATATTTAATATCTTCCACACCCCCGCAATAACACGTGTTGATGTAGAACACTAACACACCTGCGTTCGAAGCACACGCTGTTTAACAGTACTTGTATAAGTCCAGGTCAGTCCATGTGGGCAAATCTGTGATATCCAACTGTGCCTGCTTTTCAAGCGGTGCTTTCCTTGCTTATTCCATACTTGTGCTTCTGAATGCATTGACCTTGATGAACCTGCGTTGTCGCAGAGAAAGTTTTCTTGGCATGAAGGTTCGCAGATGACTTTTTTAGGAATATCTCGTGTATCTATACTTGAGGATCTTTTTTTTCTTTCTGTTTATTGCTGCATTTACCTTGTAACCCTTCTGCTTCCGCTTTCAACTGGTCTCTCTCATTCGCCGCTGTTGCGCTGTGTCGGCATTTATCAACTTTGTGGAAATAAGATGTGCCATTCACACTCTCTTTAATATTGACTTCTGTAACTTTCTCGAAGAACTTAAGCTTTCAGCAGTGCAAGGGGCTGGCTGGCTCTTGTGTCGTCGTGGCCTTTTGTTTCTTCTGTTTCTTCATGCTTTGAGAATCGACCTTGATTTTCCTCCATCGGGCACTTGTACGCAGGGCGATGAGGATTTTATATTGTTTAAGTCTACCAGCCTTGGCTTGGACGCATCCTCAATGTCTAGTGGGTGGCCCTTTGTGTCTACAAAGTTTTCCCCCTTGTCAATCATAAAAATGCTTTCCACATCGAACACCAGAGTTGTTCTAGGTGTCCTTACAACAGGTTCATGGGTATTGCAAGCTGACGACAGTTCTACAAGCGGGGACCAGGAGGCCAGCTCCTTGTAAGTAGCTGTTGTTTTTTGCAGGCTCCTTCGATGGTCGTTACTTCAGTCATGGTCCTGATCGATTGGCTTCCACCACGCTCAAGAATATGTCCTGAGGCTGACTCGACTGGCATCTGTGCTACAAGATTGTTGTACAATATGCCTTGGCTGGATGGTGGTGACTCAAAGAGCATCTTTCTTTCTGCTTCCATTTTAATCTGTAGTCTTGTTGTCTCCAAATGAGCCTGCCGTGCCTTGAATGCGTCAACGATTTTATATTCAGTTATGACTTTCGCTAGAATAATCTGGCGTTCATAACTTTGGCTTCTTCCATTTCTGCTTCCAAATGATCGATGTCAACTGTGTGCTCTACTTCCTTGTTGATTCTTTTGAGTTACTCATACTGCTCAATCAAAACTCGGTGAATACGTCGTAACTCACAGAGTGGTGGGCGATCCCATTGCCGAAGATGTTCGACGTCTGCGATGACCTGCAGGGCGGTTTTGCATGTTTGACTTCGCCTTTCATAAAGGGCCTCCATGATTCGGTCCAGTGTCGGAAACGTGAGAAGTCACTGGCTGGCTGTGTCAGGAGGCGAAGTCGGAGTCAACACATCTATCGCAGAAGGTTCGCACCATGAATATCCGTCACTTGTTGAGCTGTCGTTCTTCATGATCATGTGCATATAAGGCCATCGTCGTGAAGGGCTAGTCATTACTGAGCCGGAAAATATGTGAGGGCTACCGTCTCGTGAGCCTCCAGAGGATGCCTGCACTCACGAGGCTGTGCTGTCAAGATGTACGACGTTGACCTTTAGACTGCCTTGACTTGTGAATATCGGGCCGTCGTCGTGAAGAAGGAGTCAGGACAGAGCCGTAGTAGACGTAAGGGCTCCTGTCTCGCGAACCTCCAGACGATGCCTGTACTCACGTCAGTCCATGGGTGCTCCTAGTGGTCTCAGTTGCAACCGGAGTCGTGCTCCAAGGTCTCAGCGGTAGTTAGGCCTCGCACATCAGCTTTACCCACGGCCGCTTCACAAAAGTCCTCGATGCTACGACGGCAGTCGAAATTGGTGAAGTCCGCTTTGTCCCACCTCCGAAAGTCCTTCTTCCCGGGTTTCACGGCACCAAAATATAGAGAAAAGGACGAGCCGCCGTGCCCATGACGAAGCCCACCCGTCCACCTTAGAGGGATACGGTGTAATGTTTGCTCGCACGGCAAACAACATTACCCTGGTGAATAGGTAACCAACAAAAGCGAAAATTAGTGCGTGCACAGGTGCTCCTGCTCATTTCTATCAGCACTGCTTGCCCTCGAGCCAACAACGCTGTGCGTGCCGCTTTGCGAGAATAGCGGAAAGGGGTCAGGCGCCACGGCGGAGTTTAACAACTGAAAGTATCTAGTATTGTTGGACATGCCCACACCATGTTGAAAATGTCTGAGGACCTTCCCCACAGTATATGCACTTCCCTGAACCCGCAAGGTTGAAATGTTTCTGACCTGTCGGGCACAGCATGGTTATAGTGTACAGGCAGAGAAGTAAACATTCATCTCCTTTTGTGAGCCCCTCGGAGGGCTGACAAAAAGTTGTATATGCTTCAATTGATAGTATTTGGTGATTTCTTTAAATGTAGAGATTAGATTAAAATCGGAGTCCACATCTGAGTAGGGCAAAGGCGTGGGCGGGTAAGTCCACAGGCCGCGGCGTTTGGCGCTTCATTACTCTCGATATCCACGTGTGCAGGGGTCAGTACTATCGGACGAGGCATAGGTTCTCCAGTGTAGTCTCTGTCCTGTAACATTTTATAAGCGCAGTACGGGGTATTCCTTTTTTGATGCTTTTGGAGGCTCTTTGTGAGTCAGTGATGGTGCCTCTCCAACCCTGGTGAGCGGCTGCAAGTGCGATGGCCACTTCTCTGCACGTGTTTTGAAAGTTAGTCCATTTATAGAAGTGTTTTGAAGGATGACCACAACTGGAGGTGCCCCATTGAAATGCCATGTTTGTCCCCATAATGCTGCGCTACAGCTTTGGCTCTTGCTAGGTGCCGACCATAATAGGCCAAGTTTCTGTTTCTTGGGTGAGTTGGAAATTCATACTTGAAAGTGTAGCGCTAGTGGACACGTACTAAAGGTAGGCACATGGGCACACTGACGGAAGCACTTCGGTGTGTTCACTAGTGCTATGCTTCCAGGTAAAGGTTTGCTGCATTTGAGATTTGAGATTTATTTATTTTTTCTGTACGTGCAACAGAAAAAAACGAAGCAAAAGCAAAAGGCTACATAGCCTGACGGAGGCTTTTGCTCCGAAATACAGTCTGGCAAAATAAAATAAAAAAACTAAAATTAACATGTCATACACAACTTAGCCGAATTAGAGAACATCATTATATACAGATACAATTTGCAAATTATGATCACACATGTAACCATTACAAATATAAAGAAAGAACAGGACAGTAAATAGTAATGAAATACCTAAAAAACATCGCAATATATACAATAGGTGAGGTAAGGAAAGCATCAGGAGACACATACATTCCTAAAAAACAACAACAAAAGGACACAAATAGTGTACTCTAAGCAATTGGGACACAGAAAGTAATAAATAATCCAAATTTCTGTATTAAGTGTATTCAATACAATTATAAAGAAGAAATTCCTTGAACTTATTTTTGGAAGTTTTCTTATTTAGGTCAAGTACGTCACCCAGTTTGTTGAGGAGACTCGGTATTTGGTAATCAATATGTTGTTGACCATAGGTTGTTCTAGTTTTCGGTGTTCTTATACTATGTGTACGGAGATAGTACTCAGCACATCGAGAAGAATCGTACATGGAGTATAGTTTATTACTTTGGATATACAATAATAACTTATAATAATATATTTGGTTTGCTTGTAATATGAGATATTTAGGGAATAACGGACGTGCGCTAAGACCTTGTGGCATACCGTAATATCCCTCGAATAGTCTTAGTACCCTCTTTTGTAGTGTAAGTAATGTTTTATAGTTTTGAGCCGTCGTTGTTCCCCAACATA